ATTGTTTACTTTAAAAGATACGTTGACGATGTCTTTGTAATTTGGAAGAATGACAAAAAAATCGATGATTTTATTAGCATGATCAATAACAACGATGATGGCCTCATGCTGAAGATTGAACAGAAAAATGCTTCACAGATACATTTTTTGGATATTGACGTTGAGTTCAAAGAAGGGCACTTGGCCACTAAGGTATACGTAAAACCGACGCATAGCCCTCTGTACATTCCGTCCCACTCTAATGATCCTTACCAGTACAAAGTGGCTGCCTTCCGTGCCCTTATCCAAAGGGCCTTTCTCTATTGCAGTAGTGTGTTGGATAGGCAAAAAGAAATTAATAGAGTATTAAATATTGCCAGATCGCTAGGGTACAGGAAAGATATGATAATAACATTGAAAAAAAAATACAAAGTAAACAAAACTAAAGCTCAAAAATGCGATTTCGGCAAAATCACAAAATTCACGTATGATAAAAAGAGAAAAGACATCATGAAGGAAATCTCAGTCCGCAAAAAATCCAAGTTAATTTTCAAGAGAGCTCCTAATCTGTACAAATTATTAAGGAACGACAAAGACAGAGTAGATAAAGAAAAAAGAGCTGGAGTATACAAGATTCCTTATGAAAATCGTGAATTAGACATCAAATAAAAATTATATTGGTGTCACTAATAGAAGTTTAGGAGTCAGATTAAAAGAACATAAGTATAATATCAGCAAGGGATCTAGTGCCACAATACTATCGCAAATGGCGCAAGTTGAGGGCTCAATCGTCAAATGGGACGAAGCAGAAATTATTAAATCAGTACATTCACCGACATTGGCGAATTGCGCAGAAAAAATTGAAATATATAAAAGCAAATTGCATGATTCATGCATCAATTCTAGAGATTCTGAAGGGTTGCCTTCGGCCTGGAAATACTTTATCAAACGATTGGACAGCTCTTAATTTATTGCGGCGATTTTAATATTTTTTTGCATAAAGTGCATTTCACTGAATTTCTATATAACGTTTTAATATTTAATTAACCTATGCTTATTTTTTC